TGAACCTTTAACAGTTATGACTTTTCAGAAAAGTTTCATAAAAGTTATAACTTGTTGAGAAAATTCACAACATTTCTTAATTTTCACAACTCGTATGAATTTTCATAACATGATTGTTACTTTTCACAACACCAGTTATGAAATCACGCATGTTATTAAAATTAATAACAAAAATGTTGTGAATTTTAATAACATTTTTAACAGTGCTATTCACAGTGGCATACACATCAAGGCATTTACATGAAACAGTTCATTTTGAAGTACACTCTTTTAGAAAAGAATTAGTAATCCCACGATGAACCACAACAGAATCGTCAATTTTATATGATATGAATGACGAGTCTTTATTTGATTCCTTCTGAGGGGTAGCAGAGTACAATTGAGAATTAATTCTCATTCTTTTAAAGCTCCACAAATGATTTTCTAATTTTACTAGAGGTCCTATTACAGGAGTATTGTTACCTGAACTTTGACAAATGTTTAATCTAGCATTAGCAGACGACATCTTCAAACAATGGTCTTTTAACTTAGAAGGTCCAGGTAATTGTGTTAAAATCTCAAAATAGTTTTGAACCTGCACACCAGCTTGTTGAGTACCGTGCACAACATATTTTAACGCACCATTAAGATTTTCAAACATGAGACATGAAGATGTCCACAGAGGGCCCAGCTGCCTCACAACTCCAGGTAAATGTCGCAAAAAATGTAAATTGTAAGTCATTCTCTTTGAATGGGAACTCCGCTGGCAACTCCGTTTGGCGGAAGGGCGGGACTGCTTGTTGTGATACAAAACGGTCCTGCAATTCCCAGATCGCTATCTCAATTCCTTCTCAAGTTATCGTGCATACAGACGGATAGACAAACAAACGAACTAACAAACAGAATTAAACTTTTTCAGTCAGTGGAGCAATGAGCTTCGCTAATCGCTCAGCCAACAAATTTACTGCCAATCTTTTTTCACCTGGGATAGTATTCCTTTAGGTGTTCAACTGTATTGTTGAACACGTTATATCATTCAAATACCCAGTCAAACACTTTAAAGTGTGCAACATAGTGTTGAGCACGTGCATGTGCACGTCAATTGAACACTGCATTAATCATTGTGTATAGTAATCGACTGCGCTATCGACCGGCGCACATACAAAACGAACATAAACATGTACACATTTGAAGTTTTAATTTTGTATGACTGTGTTATAGGTTGGGTGAAGGTCAGTGACTCACATTGCCCCTACGGAGATCCTGCAACGCCTACTGATGATCAAAAGAATTAGATTGTATGTAAGTATTATGATGTTTTGAAGGTTCCAAAAACCAAACCTTCTACATAGATTTTTTGATATACGTTTTCAAATTATTTAGCTTTTTCTTTATCGTCAAAATATCCCCTTCTTCTAGGAAGGGGGAGGCGATCTTGTCAGGCACAGCGTCGATTTTTTCTGGGCGTTTTGACGTTTAGACATTGGTTTGATTTAGCATTAGTCTTACTAAACGTTAGTCCAACTGAGCGTATGCCAAACTGAGCGTTAGAATAATTGAACTTGTAACTGGCTGAGCACTAGAGCATGAGCCTTTGCGTTGGTCTTGGCGTTGACCGTTCTAGGCGTTAATCAATATGAGCGTTTATTATTTTTCACGTTTATATTACTCAACAGTTTAACCGAATTAACGCCTATCTGGGCGTTACTTTTATCAAAAATATTCAACCATCTGTTCGTTTTTCCAGCTGAATTAGATTAGGTTAGGATAGGTTAAGTAAGGTTGCGATTTTTGGGTTGGTTTGGCAAAACGCCCAGTTGGCATGTGTTGTGCAATTTCGTAATTTATTTCTTTTCCGCCTCGTCGGGTCGCTGCAGAACGCCGCGGCCCGGGCTTGGTTCAAATACTGTCCCGCGCACGCACACCTGTGCGGGCGCGGCCTCAGCCGGCCGGCCCAACTGCCGGCCGGCCTCAGTAGCCGCCGCGGGGCTTGGCGGGGCCCGCGGCGCGAGGGCGGCCTGTCGCGGCCGCCCCGAGCCCAGCCCGGGGCTCCAAACACAAAGGCGAGTACAATCAAAAGTACTATCGCCGACTCAACAACCGTACTAGTCATTGTCTCGGCTTAGAGGCGTGGTGTCGCGGTTAGCTCTCGGCCTGACGGAACCCGATCACCCGAAGGGTCACGGGGCCGTAAGGGTTTAAGGTTAGCGCTCCACCGCGGCGTTGGCCTAAGCTGGCACCGG